TTTTTTTTTTTTTTTTTTTTTTTTAAACGTGCCGCGGCACCGGGAGCCCTCAGGGGACACAGCTCTGCCAGCCCGCAGGCAGCGGACGGAGCGCGGGGTCTGCCCCCAAATCCCGGGGTTTTGGCTGTTCCCACTCCGGGCTCCCAACCAGGGGTTCCCCCACCTCCCCCCCCTGCAGTGTTTCTCTAATTAAAAACTTGTGCCCTCTGCAGCAAATGTTAATTAAAGTGTCACTTCAGGTTCGTTAACCCTCTTGGGTACAGTTACTGTGTGTGACATGGCAAAATGGGGGAGTTGGGAAGGGAAATTTCTGGGTGAAAGTTTGGGGGTTTGGTTGGGGACAAGGGGACACCAGTGTCTGCTGGGACCGGTGTCGGATTCTGGGATGGGATCCCAGTGCCGCGGGCAGCAGGTCCCCCTCACCCCCATCAGGGTGACAAAATGATGCGAGACAGACATACTTTTTGTCCTATTTTATTAATTTACATCCCATTTTCTATTCCAGCTCAAGCCAAAAAATCAGCCACAGCGTTTTCACCTCCCCATTCTCGCGTCCTGTCAGTCACAAACTAATTTTTGCGGATGATCACAAAATTATTTGTGTTCACACAAACTCCCTGAAAGCTCACCCTGCTCCCTCAGTCCCTGGAGCCAGGTGACAACATTGTCTGAATTCCGTGGCCTCTGAGAAGCCATAATACATCTTTTTTGATTTCCCCACAAGGTTTTTATCAGCTGGGTATTTCAACACAAATGCCAAGAGGCCAACTCTTAACAGAAGAGCTTGAAACTGCATCTGCCAGCCGAGTGCAACACCCTTTGCCAGGACTCCTTGTCTCCTGCCCCAAAAAAACCCCCGGAGCGTGACAGGAGTCCTCAGCAGCTGGACTGTTGCCTTTAAAACCCAGCTCTGAGCCCTAAACGAAGCACCCCGCTCACTCAAGCTCCCTCCCCTTCCCCAAAATCAACCACCCAAGCAGCAAGGCGAGAAAACTCCTGCACGAGAGGCAGCTTTAATGACAAAAGCTCTCGCCCCCACCAGTGAAATTTAACTGTTGTATAAAGGAACCACCCTGGAGATGGCCTGCCTGCAGATCGGGCACCTCTTGGGCTCGGGGAGAGCCTGGTAGCACTCCCTGCAAGAGCAAACGTGCCCACACTCCAGGAAAACGCAGGATTTGGTGTTGCTCAAACAGATGACGCAGGAGTTTTTGAGCGTCTCTCCGCCCTCCATGTTCATCTCGCGCATCAGGCGCTCCTGGGCCTGCCGGAATTCATCCTGCAGCTGCCTGAGGTGCCGCCTCTCTCGGTGATGCCGGTATTGCTTCCGTAGGATGAAGAAGAGGACGGTGCAGGTGGCAAAGCCGAAAACGACGGTCAGGATTTTCCAAAACCGAACATTCGCTTCTTGTTTCTGCAGCAAGGTGTCGAAATCCATGGTGCTCAGGTAGTAGGGCATGCCCTGCTTCGGGGGCTGCAGCTTGATCGTGGTGTTATCCAGGACCAGCTCTCCCACCCCTGTCAGCACTGTGCCCACTTTCAGCATCTGCTCGGTCTCCTGAATGCCCTTCGGGCGCTCCCCGCTGATGTAGTGGCCGATAACGTCGGTGAAGGACTGGACAGAGGGATGAAATTTCTCGTACACCGTCTCCAGGCTGAGTTCGGCGGCGTCCAGCGGCTTCATCACCCGGACGGTGACGCCGGCACCTTCCTCCAGAGGGACCAGGTCAAAGGGGGTGGTGTTGGTTCTCTGGTGGATGATCTTCTCATAGTCGTTCCTGGGAAAGGAGAAGGGGATAAAGCAAATGCGAGCATCAATGCCTTCCCCGAGGCCAGCAGGGAAACACTGTGTGGGCTGACCTGCTATTTTTTGGGGGCTGCCAAGCGTCCTCTGCCCTAAGCAAAGTTTATTTGGATGGGACTCACTGGAGAGCGGGGCTTTTCCCCTCATGGCACTGTCCAGGAGCCATTCTGCCCTCCCTCAGCACTTCCACCATCACCAGGAGAGCGCTTCAGCCCCCCTTAATCCCCCCTCATCTCCCTGTGGCGTTCCCAGCTGCCGGAAGCGCTGCCTGTCTCACATGCAGATCTGAGAAGTGTTATCCGATCAGCCGAGGCTCGGAGAGTGTCACCGTGCTCTCGTTTCTGCAGCTCAGGACCATCCTCGGGTCCCCTGGGCACGGGTATCGTCCAAATCCAAGAGAATTTCTCTTCTGAAGGTTTCATTTTGCTTGGGAAACACCATCCTGTGGCTACCTCTGTAACAGCAGCGTGAGGCTGCTGATAAATGCTCTGCCCACATTGGATTATTCTACATGCTCATCATCTACAGCCCCTATACAAAATCTGAAAGGCTACAGCCCCGAAAACAGCGAAACATGCCCCATTTTGACAGCTGTAATGGCGTCACTGTGAGGTTCAGCTATGGGGCACCTTGGTCACTGTGGCCAGGCCTGAAGTCATCTCAGTGTGTCCAGGCCCTCTGAGGGCACCTCAGCCGGTCCGAACAATGGATGTTCATGGGCGCCCGGGACGTACCAGAGGTGGGTTGTTCGGTTCCACACCATCTTATGCTCCTGCAGCGTCAGTCTCTGAATGACGCCCTTGCAATTCTCCACAAACTGGCTGCTCAAGGTCTCCTTAACAGACTGCACCACCCCTGAAAGACAAATCCGAAGCGCGTGAGGTGCTCGTTAATCATCCACTCCACTTCTTGTTGCGTACAGTGAGTACGAGCAGTATCTGAACAAGACGGGGGGGGCTGAAGAGATGACAGCCCGTGTTCTGAGCCATCAGGATGGTCAGTGGCCGCCTGACAACGGGGACGTGAGCTGATGGGAGCCAAACCGCGGGGCTGAGGATAAAACCCACACGGCGAGGGGGCCGTTGGGGTGTGCATTTGCACCCCTCACGCCCGCTCTGGGCCCTGCCCTACCTTCAATGACCGCGTAAGGGACGCAGCGCCCCGGCGCCTCCAGCAGCACTGTCCGCAGGTCCCCGTCCAGCCGGACCTTCCTGGCGCCCTGGGGGAAGGAAATGGAGGCCGCGGCTCAG